ATGAGGAAAAGCTGAGGATTTGAGTCTTTTTAGTCTGGAGAAGAGAAGGCTGAGGGGGGATCCGATCAATGCTTATAAATACTTAAAAGGGTGGGTGTCAGGAGGATGGGGCTGGTCTTTTTTCAATGGTGCCCAGTGACAGGACAAGAGGAAATGGGCACAAACTTGAGTATAAGAAGTTCCATCTCAACATGAGGAGGAACTTCTTTCCTGTGAGGGTGGCAGAGCCCTGGAAGAGGCTGCCCAGGGAGGTGGTGGAGTCTCCTTCTCTGGAAACATTCAAAACGCGCCTGGACACGTTCCTGTGCAACCTGCTCTGGGTGGACCTGCTCTGGCAGGGGGTTGGACTAGATGATCTCCAGAGGTCCCTTCCAACCCCATATCATCCTGCGATTCTGTGAGAGGATCACACAGTGCCAGTTTCTCCATCCCCAAGTCCATTTAAAATCAATTTATCACTCCACCAGTGGCTTTCTTTTCGCCAGTTTCTCCATCCCCAAGTCCATTTAAACTCAATTTTTCACTCCACCAGTGGCTTTCTTTGCTGGAGCAGGGTACAGGGCTCAGGTATTGGTCGCTGGAAGCCTGTGCAGCCATCGTACCTTGCAACATATGAACACAAACCCAGCAAAAATCCCATAAAATATCGACAAAATCACTTCCAAACCTCTTCCTACAGCTGCCCCATAGCAGGGAGTCACCATAAAGTCTAACAGAGGGCACAGCTGGGGCAGCAAGAGATCTATGCCACAGGGCTGGAATTTGGGCAAAAGTCTTGCTAAACCCAGCCACGCTACCATATAAATGCAGTTTAATAAGGTGAAAGTTCTCCCACAGACAAGGCCTGAGCTCTTACTGCTGCAGAAGACTTTAAAATGAAAGTTTGTAGTTAATAAATTGGCTCTTGATCCCACATTCAGGGATATTCTGTAGCAAAAGCTCTGCTAATTAATACACTGATAGTCTTTCTCAAGGGGCACTTCCCCCTTGTAGTCTGAAATAACCCATTCAAATATGCAGCGACTTACAGAGCAATAATTTATGAAAGAGAAAGACTAACAATTTTAGTTAACAGAATTTCCCTTTTTAAAAATGGGCTTTTTATAAGAGGAGGGAAAAAAAAAAACCCAGCAAGTATATTTGGTACATGATGTGACAAATTTATACACCTCAGACTCCAGCACATTCCCTTGTGCCCTGAGACAAATACATCCATTAAATAAATTTGATTATATCCTTCCTCCTGCCAGCAATAATGTCTCCAACAAGGCTCATTTAACCTAGAAAGGGAAAGTTTTCATATTTTGTTAATTTCTAGTCCTTGTTATCTTCTCTTTCCCTGCAAAGTCTTAATAGCCTCTTTCATAACAATCAAGAGAAGCTTGGGGAGTTACCAAGTCACCTAATTAAGCCTTGGGTTTGCTTTTTTTTCCCCTAACGACTCCGCAGAATACATGACAGCAAACTCTCCAGCTCTCATTTTCAATGTAATACAGCAGAGGATCTACAACCGATAACAAAAACCCCAAAGAAACCCTGCATGTGGTTATTCATTATTCAATGTACATGGCCTCTGAGAGCTGGAGGGGACCCAAAGCTGCCCAGTATCACACACCACCATTTTTCAGCTCCATGCTTTGAATGATCTCAAGGAAATGGGCTGTGCCCTGGTATGTTTATCTAGACAAAGTAAAAAAGTATTTCCCAACACTTCCTTCATCTCACTGGACTGGGAAATTGCCCCAGGAGCGTGCTGGCACCCAGCCCACCTGAGTCAGAGGGTAGGAGCTGTGAACATGAGAAAGTGTACAGAGCAATCAACTTCTCAGGCTCGGAAAATCCTCCACTCTGGGCTGTTATCAACCCAGACACCCATTCCAAGGTTTAAAAATCCACTAACCTTGCCCACGTATATTTATTTAAGTACGTACATACTGTAACCAGCTTTCAGCAAATGTGTAACCTGAGAAAGAGCCCCACATCTTAGTGCTGCCCAATCAGCATGTTTGTGGTACCTCCAGCCCCATCCCAAGGGAAGGCAAAAGCCAGGGAGCAGAGGCTTTTGCAGGAAAAGATATTTTTTATTATTGCTTTTACCTTTGATCCAAAACAGAGAGGGGTGAGCCACATGAAAAAGACCTTCAGCATCTCAAGTCTGTCCCTAGGAAAATCCAGGGCTCTCCTTGGCTGTATATATGCCCTACAACACCTGATGGTACTTACGGGGGGTGAGGTGACTGGTGGGGAATGAGGAGCACCTGAAGGCACCCTTTGCCTTGCAAAACACCCCTTAGCAAGGATCACTCGCACTCACGCTAGCAATTAATTGCCTTTACAGCCCTAACCCAATGTCCAAAATCCAGCATCCTCTCTCAAAAACCTCTTCCTGGCTCCTTCTTCTGTAATTTTGGGGTTAGCGGAGGAGTGGACAAAGAACCATCATGTTTTTCACACAGTCACAAATCTCTGCCTAGTAATTAAGTGGTTTTCCCTTGTTACCCCATGGCTCCCCGATATGTGGAGCACCCCAGAACTGGGCACCCCTTCCCTGTCCTGCCCCGTGGAGTGTGGGACATCCTGGAAAAGGCTGATTCCCAAGGGACCTCTGTATCTGAAAGCTGGAAACGATGGTAAGACCCACAATTGTTCACAGTCCCCCTCTGAAAGGCTCATTTAGGGGGAAAAAATACACAATTGAGTTTTTATTCATAAAATACAATGGTGGATGTACAGCAGGAGAGATATCTGTGCATCTTAACACCAGCTTCTGTGGGAGGACCTCCTGCCCTCTCCACGCTTGTGGGACAAGTCCAGGGCTGTCAGAGGAGCTCTCAGAGTCAACATCACCTTTCCCATCCTCTCCTGGGGGTCAAGAGGACCAAGAAGGGTTTAAAAAATAAAGTGTAATTGCGGAATAAGCCCAGACAGAAGGCAGGAGAAACCACAGCAGGGGCATGGGTGAAGCTGGAGGGGCTGGTAGCCTCACCAAGTGGTCCCATCTGCCTGGGTCTCCTCCAGGTCTTCCCACTGCCCAGCAAGCTCGGTGATGTGCTGTACACAGGAGGGCTTGGCAGAGTTTTTAGAATCAGAATCATAGTATTGTAGAATTGTTTAGGTTGCAAATGTCCTTTAAGGTCATCGAGTCGAACCATTAACCTAACGCTGCCAAGTTCACCACCAAACCATGTCCCTCAGCACCACATCTACAAGTCTTTCAAATACCTCCAGGGATGGAGGTATTTTGCACTGACCAAGCAATGCTCTCCCCACCCCTCTACTCAACAGTCTCTCTCCCACCCTCCAAATTTCAGCCCACGCAGTTAAATTTTGATAGCGATAACAGGCGCCAGGAAAAAATCCGATTGTGCAAAGCAATGTCGGTGTGAGGAGGTGGGACCTGCCCTGCCCTGGTGTAGGTGTAAGCCCTCAGGTGCTTGCTGAAACATCTCCTCATCTCCTCCTGGCTCCGTACAAACCTTCACCAACCTTTGCAAAGCTCAGAGGAGTGCAGCCTCCCTCCCTTCACCCCTCAGGCTTAGAAGGATGGGTGCCGTGGAGAGAGCTGCTGGTGGCCACGACGGTGGCCACCGGTTCCCTGAATGAGGACCATTGAGGGGAAGCGGGCTGCAGATGATGGGGCTCCCCCAGGCACTTGCTGTGGCATCACCTCGTGCTTCTCAGCACATTTGGAGCTCCAGCGCTTTCCAGCAAAGCTAAGACTCTTGGGAGGGTGCTGCTCACCAACCCCTCGGTTTTGGGGACATCTCCCCAGACATCATGCCAGAGCTCAGCACCCACCACCAGGTCGGCCACACCAGGAGCTGCAACTCTCCCTGCTGGCAGCAGGCAGTGCCACCGAGGACCATTCCTCCCAGAGACCTACTTCCCCCGCTGGTTATTCAGCTATGGAGCTCTAAGATGAATAGCAGGAGGAGAACCATGGAAAAAGGAGCTTGCCCACCCCTCCTGCCTCAGGTGGGCACCCCCTGCCACAGCCTTACCCCATGGCACAGAGGAGCCACTGACTAATATCTTTTGGGTTATCTTTGGTCGCACAGATCTCAAGATCTCATTTCTGAGATGTTTCTGGCTCTGAGATAGGCTGTTTATAACCACCGAGTTGTTGCTGCTCAACTTCTCAAGAAGATAAAGTTTGCCTTCCCGGCTGGTGCAGACCAGGGTTGTCTCCTGGCTCCAGGAGGAGGGATTGGCTGTTTCACAGCCATGGGAACACCAGGATAAGGAGGATAATTTTGAAATATATTTGAGCTGCCCGTCTGCACCACTCGCTGGAGATGGTTGTGTCAGGAGAAAGTGCGTTAGATCAATCTAACCAGTTTCTTACAGCCGTTCCCAAGGGAAGTTTCATCCAGCGGCTCCGCAGGGCCAGACAGACCAGTTCTGCCTGTGGACTTGTCTCACTGGCTGGTTCCTCCATCCTGGGGTGTCACGCGAGGCACACTGTGTCCTAGCGTGGCTGAGGGTGGCCGTGCCCAGGAGCTGCTCCTCCGGGAGCACCAGAGGGAGCTGATGGATGCTCCCAAACCTGCTCAGCTCCCGCTCCCCACCCAATTCCAGAGCTGCCATGAGCGAGGAGCAGCCCCAGCATGGCCACGGGCTGGTTTGGGGTGACAGCTGTCTGGGGGGGGGCCTTCACCCACTCTGGTGGGTGTGAGAGAAGTGTCCATTAGAGGGGATAAACTTTCAATCCATGACCCTGGCAGAAGGAGCCTGGCTGGCAGCCTGGGCTGGTCCCCGTGGGGAGCACACACAGCCCCATCCCACCCCTGGAGAAGGGGCTCCACCGCAGGCAGGGTCCCCCCTGCTTTGCCCCCCCCACAGCACCCACATCACAGGCACCACAGGGATCTCTATCAGAGAAAGACATGTGCTTACTAAAAGTGCTGAATTTACAAGCCAGTATTAATTCGTTGCTCTTGTTATTTACAGTTTATTTACAATTAATCACTATAGTCACGGACAGCTGGATCTGTCAGAGATTTACAGCAGCCTGGCACGGCAGGGTAGGCAGAGTTTCTCTTCTTTTCCCTCTCAGCCCTGCCAAGGGCTTTTTTGATTGTCCCCCACCCAGGAGTGGGAAAGCCTGGCCTGTTAATCAGTAATTGGGGGAGCCAAGGTGACTCACGCTCCGCGGCTGGGCACAGCTCAAGTCTCAGCGCTGTTACAGCTGTGGAGGGAAAAGTGCCACACTCCGGACTCCACGTGAAGGGTTTCCAGGGCCAATGGCTGTTTTCCCTGCATGGGCACCCACCTGGACAGCGTGAACCCCCCAGCATGGCCTGGTTGCTGCCACAGCCCACCTCTGCCAGACACGGTGCGTGTCATGGATGGGTTGCAATGCCCCATCCCTGGAGGGGTTCAAGGCCAGGCTGGATGGGGCTTTGACCAACCTGGTGTGGTGGGAGGTGTCCCTGCCCAGGGCAGGGAGTTGGACTGGATGGTCTTTAAGGTCCCTTCCAACCCAAACCATTCTATGATGCTATTATTCTATGATTCTGTGTGTTGGGATACGAGTGCTGCTTGCTCTCCCGTCTCAGAGCTGAGCTGAGCACAGATCAGGGACGGTCCTGGACTTCAGGTGCCAGGCTGGCAGTGACACAGGAGCATTTTTTGCTGCCTGTGGGTCACCACTGTCCCTCCTGGGAGGGCGGCAGGATCAGAAGGAACATTCCCCTCCTGGGAAGGAGCCTCCAGGCTCCAGGAGGAGCCTCCACCACTACCTCTGCCATTGAACTCCACAAGTCTTTGCTGACAGGCTGCAAAGATGCACAGACAACACAGGCATCACCCTCCATCCACCGTGCGAGGAGGGTCCTGACAGCCCCACCAGGTGAAGCTCCCCTGCAGATCATCAATGATTGCCCTCCCACCTTCACCAGCAGGAAACTCGACCGGTCCGGGCAGCAGCCAGGGACTGACTGAGGGGCCGAGTCAAGACGGCTTCACCTGGGCATGGGACAGGTCAACATATAGGCTTTTCCCCTGGGATATTTCCTCCAAGCTTCCTCTCTTCCACCATCTCAGTCGAGTTCAGAACAAATCTTCCACAGAATACTAACGCGGGGTCGGCAAGTGGCCGGCTGTTTCCTTTCCAGATGGGTTTGTAGCCCGGCTGCCAGAGAGGCATCTTACAAAGGGACTTTTGGCTCGCTCCTGCGGATCCCTGGCTTTCAAGCCATGCAGAGGACAACGCTGCTGTTCATGCCCCAGGACTGCCCCAGCCCTGGCCAAGCTCTCCAGGAGCCCTGCACGAGCGTGGGTCCTACTGCCACGGTATCCTGGGGTCCTCTGGGACCACACATCCCCTGAGACGTGCCTTCCTGCTCAGGGGACGATGGCGGACTGCTGCTTCCTCTGCTCCTGCCTCATCTTCAGAGCCAGCATCGCCCGGCGGTACAGGTCTGGGGAGGAAGGGAAGTGGTCAGGCACTAGAGGGGTTAAGCCCTGGGGTCCAACCTGGCACCTTGGCTGAGTGAGGGCTGCAAGGACCCCCCAGGCTCCAGCACTGTCCACTTGTGTGGCCTCCCCGCATCCCACCCAAAGGCAGAGACAGCAGCATCTGCCTCCTCAACAGCCCCCACCTTGCCCTGCAGCAGCACTTGTTTGTGCCCGTGTCCCCACAGCAAGGACCCCACAGCTCCTGCACAGCTCACACCCTGCTCCCAGCAAGCCAGACACTTTCCCCCCCCCCA